ACAAATTTATCACAAAAAAGTCTGATATGAGATAAATAATGTTTACACATCAACTATGTGTTTGGTCTTATTCGCCAGTAAATTGCTGTGATCCATACATACTACATCTAATTGTGTCTTCTCAAAAAGCTAATTACTAAGTAACAATAAATCTACATTTACCTATAGTGTTATGAATATATGTATTGATAGATGTTCACTGGTGATCGACCTTCACAAATTCACCCTACTGTGAAAATACCTAACAAACTTATAAATGAATTAAAACGAGTCCAAATCAGACCAGCAAGAAAATGATATCAAATATACGTTATACAATATATGCTCATAAATCAACTTTGAAAAACAGATAGGAAATTTGTGTAATACATAAAAGTGGAAATCAAAAATCGCAGAAAAATAAGTACAACAGACCATATGTATCTACCTAAACATCTGAATAGTATTGTATATCTCGTGAGAAACAAAATGCCTTCGAGTAGTTTGATATTCAAATGCATCGCCCTTTTTGCTCTATTAGCGTCAAGTTGATGTTTATAAGTATTCAATCGATATTTATGCTTCCTTTTAGCCATTTTACATATAAAAACAAAACAAACAAATAGACGAGATAATAAAATATCCAAAAAATACGAAAATAAAAAGAACACATTTGTTACTGTCCTTTTAATAATCGCGAGATAAGATGCTGATTTTATTGAGCAATTATTATTAGCGTAATACTATTTACATAATAAAGTTTTATAAAATAGAATTCTACAACATTCCCACTTTTTTCTATCTGTTTCATTGGTGAATGTCTGGAAAAAAATGTAAATAAGTAGGACCAGTTTGTTTTAAACATATTTCATAAGTTAAGTGATTTTTTAAAGTTCAAATCCTTAAATTGACAGCCTCCTATGACTAGTATTGTTTGTTCAGACAAGAATTTTTCATTATTTTGTATTCCTTACCAAATTATGAAATGTTTATGAATGCTCCAAAAAGGCAATTTCTATATTAATTTTAAACATATTTTGAGTCCTAACAAACAAAAGAAGAATACACTTAGTGATAATCATGTGCATTAACCGATTTTCCAGTATTTACAGTAGGCATAAGCTACCCAATTACAAGTGAAAGTGGAAATGGATCTTTTTGCGAAATCTGTTGAATGATATAAAAACCGTAGGCCTTGAAAATTGTTCAAATCTTTTAAGGCGACATAGGTTTATTTGCCAACAACTCTTGAAGTATTTGAAGCTATTTGTTTATCGAAATTAATCCTCCTTTTATTCTGCTTTAGTATATTTGTCACGTACAGACGTCCGTAATGGGCGATTCCCACAATATTTTTGTTGATTTTCCTAGGACGAAACATTTCATCGGTAATTGATGCACTGATTTCCTTTTGATCTATACAGGCTGATATTGTCAGCATCATTGGATTTACCTGACATGACAATGTTTGGATCAGTTCACTGATCTGCATTCGCGAGTGATTCAAGCAAAGATTTATTTTCATTCCTTTCACAAAACAAAAAGCCAGCAATCGTTAATTTGTATGAAACGACCAATTAAAACTCTTAGCCCGGTGTAGCATAACAGTTCTAACTGTAATGACACATTGGAAAGCATGTTTTATCTTGACAACTTTGTGCTTGGGTGAAGGAATATTAAAATCGAAATAGAAAAAATACTATTTGCAAGGTCTGAAAAGAAAAGACTCTACTTTGACAGAATAAAAAAAATATATGATCTGTAGGACGTCGGTTAACAAAAAAAAAAAAAAATGATCAACAGAAATGTAAAGATTATGAAGACATCAAATGAAATTGGCTTTCGGGTTAAATAAAGGGTCGTCGTATTACTTATGAAAAATATTAAAAATATGAAAAAATACAGAGATATGGTATGTTTTAAGAGACTTAAGGGCAAAGATGTGAAAATGACAGGTCATCGTACAGCCTTCAGCAATGAGCAAAACATATACCGTATAGTAAGACCCCTGTATAAAAATATTAGATAGAAGTTAAAAGAAAACAAAATCCAGAGGACTGATTTATGCTACAGATACGATTGGGAAACAAATATTGAAGGCATCCACCAGCGATAAGCAATGGATTACAGATTCCCGTATCTTTGATGTCCTCTTTCAATTTTAATTGTGCAACTAGTAGTATTCCAACAGACCTAAATATTTACTTTTCCACAGTAAACATATACTAGGTTGGTACTAAATGTGTCTATAAACTACATTTTTCCTCCGTTCTATATTATTGTTTCTTTTCTAAGTAAGTCATGTGATAATTTAAGAGATACCACCTAGTTAGGACAAAATATGTCTAAACATTCAATCGATTGGTAGATTCAATATTGATCTTTCATATGAGTCAAAGTTTCATGATGTATGGGATTTTGTTTTGATGTGCACTTTTCATAATATGATGCAGCCTTTTATGACGTACAACTATTCTTACATTTTGTTCCCATTTTATTATATGGTGTATGTTAACGAATGTATGATGTGACTTTGTAATTATTGCATGAACAATAAATGACCTGCTTTACCAAAAACCATCGGTATGACCCCAACAACGATGAACTGACATCTCATAAAAACGTTTTGACCGCATATTGACGACTTTCGAATGTGAGAAATTTCACTTTCACATATATGTCACAATGATTATATTATTACGTCAATGTAAGAACTGATTGCTTGATGACGTCGTTTACGCCGATTGACCCCGGGTGTATTATAAAGATAATTGAACCGCATCATAAAATGGTACGAGCAAATAATGTAGTGATAAAACCACATCACAAAAACATGTTTCGGGGCCTTTTATAGCATGTTATAAGATATTGGTTTTGCACATTATTGAAGGTAGTACGGTGACCTATAGTCTCTAACTTCTACGTCATTTGATCTCTTGTTGCGAGTTGTCTCATGGGCAATAATACCACATCTTATTTTATTGTGTATAATATAAAGGCAGCACACACTATATAAAGCAGTGTGCGTATTGTATAAAGCATCATATAAAGCAGCATGCTTATAATATAAAGCATAATTTAAGGTGGTACATAACACTACAGGGAGATAACTCTGTAAAAATCAGCTGAACGTTTAAATCACGTTCTATTGTTAAGGAAATATTAAGCTTCTCAATCATCAAAATTAGTATTTGTCAAACTGCTACATATCCAAAGAAATTTTTCCGATAAAGTGTGTGGTTCAAGTTTTTGGAAATTTTTATATTTTTGTCAAATGGTCAAAATAAATATTTTGTCAAAATTTTATGAAAATTAAACGAGCCAAATTAATTTTAGTCAAGGTGTTTGGTACCATCTTTAAATAGTATTTATATAATATAAAGCAGTTTACATAACATATAAAGCAGAGTTCACATTATACATCTGCAATTATATAATTTCATTATCACATGATACATGTAGTATTCCATTTGCACATCATTTAATGTCATATGCACACCACAAATGTTATTTTACATCATATAAAGACAAGGGCACATAGCACAGTGACAAACCCTATTGTATAACGATAGAAGATACACATCATGAAATGTGGACATTATATTTGCACGTCATATAATGACCAAGTAGACAACATATAAATTTTGTAATACATCATATAATGACAAGTGGTCATCACAAAATATTGTTTCCTTTACATATGAAAAATCATTTAATACAATGGTAAAATATAGCGTATAATTCCATAATAAGAAAGTTTAAGCATCCAATGCCTGTTTTTATATCATGTTAAGATGAAGATATATGTCAAATAGTTACTCTAAATATGAACAAAAATGTAATCAATTGATCCAAATACTAGTTATTTAATATGCTTAAAATGTCTAGATTAAAGTAAACTGTTTGATGTTTAGATAAATGTCTAACACAAATATCTTCTGGTTAATCTGTTTTCATTGGTGGTTATAAAATATATTCACAATTTTGAAGTATGCTACAGAACAGATTTTGAAAACAAATGGCATATTGGTTTGTTCATGGATTTACTAAAAATATTTCCATTTCAATGTAGAAAATCCCATGAAATAATGCAATTTCTGCGGGATTTTATGATCCCATAGGACTTTGTATCTTTTAAATCAAATTGCAAGCAAATAGAAATTCTAAAGTATAGAGCTTTAAAATTTGGTATTTAATAATTCCCATGTTACTCTGCATATCATGGTTATTTACATGACAATATCTTATAAATTGGCGTCATTTTGGCAAATTAGATTTTTGTAACTTTAAAGTGTTCAGTGTTCATTGGGATGTTCATGGTAATGCTGGAAATACTTCCATTTTGATGTAGAAAATCCTGTCATAGAAAAATAAAGTAAGCAACAGTTTTACCTTTGTGTTATAATTTAGTAGCGTTTTCGAGTACTTGAGGTCATGCGTTAAAACCCTGACCGGATAAAAACTAAACCTTGATTGTGGACAGACATATGTACATGTATCCTTAAGTCTTTTATCTTTTATGTTTCTTTAAATAAGAGAATTATTCGTTAGAACACAATTCTATTTGTTACATCTTTAAAAAAAGCTTTATAGAAAATAAACTGTACGATGAGTGCCTTATCCCATAAATTGAACATTTGAATACTATGTTTCTTCTTAAAAACCACTGGAGTAAGTGTAAATATTGTTGTATTCTTTAAATTTGCTCCGGAATTCTTAAAATATCACCCAAGGCTAGTTTTTAAACATGTGTTCAAACCGACTTACTAATTAATGACCTGGTTATCAAATGATATCTCTGCATTGTCGTTTCAAATTCTTTATTTTTGTTTCAGTATTTTCTTTTTACAAAAAGCCGAATTGATTTTATGGTTGTTATTTATGTATGAATTGTATAGGACTGAACACAGATTGTAATTGATCCATTTTTGGAGTGATTGAAATATTCTGTATTTTAATGTATATTTTGAACTGTCACATTCAGATTCATTGTGATCGTTTTATATTTTGATGTTTTGTAGTTACTGAATTGTATCATTTAGACTTGGATTGTATTGTAATAGCGGCAAATGTCCAAATTCCTGAAGCTGTTGCAAGTTTAATAAAAATTCCTGTTATTGATTGGGGAAAGGATAAGCTGACAAATTTAAGCACGCCAGTGACGTCACCTGATGGCTGTTCAATGACGACAACGATAACAACAGTCGCTCCAAACGAATGTTCATTGCCTGTAGGGAATTATGAATACCAGGAGCCACTGTTTAACAACGTAACTGGTGCAGCCATTACTTTGATTTCCGTTATCGTCCACTTAAAGTGGTCTTCAGTTTGCATAGTATTTGACAATGATACAGGTAAGATGACATATCATTTATAATAATTTCAGAAAAGAAAAAAAAAATGATTACAAAAGTTGAATATAAATAAAGTTACCAAAATTAAAGCATATCAATGTGGATGGCACTTAATTTACAATTTTTAAACAATATGAATAAATCGCCAAGACTGGTTGGAAAATTTGAAAGTATACTGACATGATTTATAGCGTATCTTTCTTAAATTGTCCATTTATAAATAAAGAAATTGTTAAGAAAGAAACTAAAACTAAGGTTCGAAAACCTTCAGACAAGGTTGACCTTAAATGGATTTACCAACACATGTTAGTTTCTTTTGGTCATATAAGAGGGCGAAGGATACCAAAAGGACATTCATAAGTCGAAAAGAAACTGACAACGCCATGGCTAAATAAGAAAAAGACAAACATACAAACATACAAATATACAAACAACAGTACACAAAACAACATAGAAAATCAAGGACTGAGCAACAGGAACCCAACCAAAAACTGGGGGTGATCTTAGGTGCTCTGGAAGGGTAAGCAGATCCTGCTACACATGTGGTACCCGTCGTGTTGCTCATGTAAGTAAAAATCCGGTGATATGTCTAAATCGGTAGGTCACATTCGGGGGAAGGGGACGAGATTGTAGTTACGACAATTGGAACATATTCGTCGTCATCTGTGAAACAGATATAACATAACGGTCAACCAACTTGTGATAGCGTCCATAAATTTCACGAAGGGATAATTTCAACTGGTTATTGTTTTAGTCCCCTTTGGACATACAGCTCGTCACATGTGTCGGTTTTAATATATGATTGGCTTTCAAAGATTTTGAGCGTACGTGAAAGAATAAAAAAAGTTAAGAATTACTCTTGGTTTTATCACGAAATATTCCTTGTTATTTCAGGATGTACACATTTTTAATTCAGGGATTACTCCCTGTTACATCAGGAATAAATCCTTCTTATATCAGGAATTAATCCCTTTTTATATTAGGAATTACTCCTATGCATATCAGGAGTTATTCCTTGTTATGCAAAACATTCTTGTGGAATTTTGTGGCAAAAACTGATTTGCTGCACTTCTTCTGAAATGTATTTAAAAGGTCTGTATTTATATTTATATTGGTAACAACAAGATCACATTTTTTTGTCGCTACAGATTAAAAAAGATGTAAGATATGCCTCTATAAAACATCAACCCAACATCATATAAATCAGACAGAGATCTTTCATAATTGATATGGAATAGTGTCCGAGTTTAGGAACACAAATTCCATCAACAGTTATATTCCATACAGAACAGAAAAAAACTTAAGATATTACATGTTATAAAGGCAACAAGTGCCGAAATAAGAATTTTTGAACCGGTATCACGGTCCTTTTGATAGATTTGACCAATTTTAAAGCACTAAGATAGTCCCATTTTAATCTTGATCATTTGATTTACAAAAAGTTCAAAGACAAACAGGCAAAAAATAAATGAAATAAAAAGTATACACTTTACAATACCGGTATAATAAACGCTTAAACACAGTCACACACTATTCATTGATAAATGATACCGTAATCAAAATTACTTGTAGTTATCAAGTGCAAGGTTAAATTACTCAAACTGTTGATATAGATATCTCTCTGATATTGGGGGTTGTGTTTTTTTATAAAGATTTATGTTATGTTGTGTAAGTTTGAAAACAAACTATTTGTTGAAATTTCGAAATTTGAGATATCAAAGGGACCATAATAATTAGAGTAAATGGTGGTTTTCTTTCAAACAGAACACGAGGCAATGCTGCTGCATCATGGTTTGTCTGATGTTGGAATATTTGCCGATGTGCATAGTTTGCAGCAGATGACCTCAGAAAAGATAGATTCTCTGATGGAAGAAAAATCTGCTGTTTATGACGAAACAAGCCTAAACTGCACAATTCTATGTCGTTTGGAATCATGTCAACGATATTTGGAAAAGGTAAATAGTTAAACATTTCATTTCGATTGAAGTATAATAAGAACTGTAAATCTATATTCAACATGGTGGCCTTGGGCTGCTTTGTGCTCTTTGGTCGTGTTGTTGTTTCTTTCAAACATTCCCCGTTTTCATTCTCTATTCTATCAAGATGATGGTAGTCATAATACATTTGATTGAATGATTGATTGGTGTTTAACGCCACTTTCAGCACTATTGTTCTATTACGTGGCGGTCAGTTGTTTATTGGCGGAGGGAGCCGGAGTGCCCGGAGAGAACCACCGACCTTCGGTAGAAAAACTAACAATCCTAGTTAATTAAGATTGGAGTCTAGTGCACCTGCCACGTGTGGGAATTTACAACCTCAGTGTTGACAGGCTATTGATACATTAGATTGACTACTTAGAACACAGATTTATGTACAGAAAAAAAATAAAAAAACTTGTTTCAAAACATATTTAAACATTTCTTGTATACATTGAAAAATCTACTTAATATAACTGTATTAGAAAGTAAAAACTGAGCTGCAATCTTTAAAGTTAACTTTAACTATTAACACCAAGAAACGAATTATAAGTGAGTTTTCAATTTCAATCCCTTTAAAACACGTAGAAGATTTGCGCTACGATTTTTTTTTCTTCAAATTTTATAAGAATATTTAAAAGAATATTATTATATTTCTGCAGTTAATTTTTCTGAGTTTTTAAATTTTTTAGCAAAATAATCTCAAAATGCTCATGTGTGGATCACTACATATATATAGCTATTGAAATAACCAATACATAAAGCGGAGGTGTAAAGTACATTTCTAATATGGTTTGAAGGACTTTAGATAGTGTGACGGGAAAACTGACCTGGGGTGTGATGAAAGGCTTTGATCTTCTTATTCTATCTGGCTTTGAAACTTCAATTTTTTTTTCAACAATTAGGGACGACTTAAGTACACACCATCCAACAAACATTTCGCCGCATCTATTGCGCCTGAACTGTTTATATAAATATAAAAAAAAAATTGCTGCAAAATTAAATTGCTCTTTCTTCTGTTTTCTAGGAGAAGTCGAGTGTTGGTGGTTGTTGAGGTTTATTTTCAGTGCTCGTTTTTTGTTTGTTAATTAAATGTGCTATGTATCATAAAGTAAATTTCGTTTAAGTCGACCTTTTTTATGCTGAAGTTCATAACAAATCTATCTTAAATTCCCGTTTATAAATTTATAAATTATTAAGAAAGTAATATTTTATCTCCTTCAAGCAGAGTTGACCTTAGGTTGATTTTGTTATTTTTTTTAGGTACTTTTTGGTCATAGAGCTCTTTAACGATTTGGTTCTTTTAAATCCTCGGCTTTCAAATAGTCGGCTTTGAGAGGTCCAGATGAAGGTAAATTCAGAAAAGCGTTTCGGACACATGAACTTTATGAAGTGTTGTTTTTTTAAATTTTTGAAGACATTTGAGTATAAATATAAGTTTTCGGAACCTTTTCTATAGTGCGTGAATCAGTTGATTAGATATTTGGTATATAGTCCAAATATTAGAGGTAAAAATCACGTTCCGTTCTAGTTTTTGAGCGATATTTGCGATTGCTTGATTTTAGTAGTATCAGCTCTTAAACGTTTGTATAAGATTTTTGACTTTTGAATATTTTTGAATATAATATAGTCGATACATCTGCTGATGGACTATTAGTCCCCGAGGGTACCATCAGCTCAGTAGTCAGTATTTTGGTACTTAAATGATTTATTACAAATCTTTCTAGAATTGTCCGTTTATGAATTTTTATATTATAAAGAAACTAAGGTTTCAACTCTCTCAGGCACAGTAAACCTTGAAAGGATTTGGCTATTTTGTTAGGTCCTTTTGTTGTCACATTGTTGTCAATAAATGGATTTCTATGCGACTGTCATACAAGCGAGAGGTTTAGCTAGCTATAAAATCAGGTTTAATCCACTATTTTTCACATAAGGAAATACCTGTACCAAGTTAGGAATATGACAGTTGTTTTCCATTCGTTTGATGTGTTTGAGTTTTGATTTTGCAATTTGATCAGTGACTTTCCGGTTGAATACTTTTTTGGTCATATAGCTCTTCAACTGTTTTGGTCTTATACATCATTGGCTTTCAGATATTCGGCTTTGGGCGTTCCTGATGAAGGTAAATCCTTAAAAGCACTTCGGACGCATGAAATTTATAACGTGTTGTTTTAATTTTTTTGAAAAATCATAAATTTGTTAAATCCACTTCTGGTGCATTTAAACTGAAACCGTTAATATAACTCTTTTAAGTGTAAACCTATCTAATGTTCCTGCCAGTAGGATGAATTATATATCATGTGAATGATCCCCACAATACTTGTTCAATATAGTCATATTTCTACAACGTTGTTTCCCGTGGGTTTAAGGGGCATTGAAGTCATAGTGCCGACTATATGATACGTAATGACAATCGATGGATTGTTAATTGTTTTAAGATATTATATAATGTACAGTCAGCTTTGCTACTACAATAACTATAACAATTTTTTTGTTTGTTTATTGAAATGCTTATTTTCAAAACAGAAAAGTATTAATTATTTATGAAATGAAATAATAATTTTCCCAAAAACTAAAACATAACGACATTCAACTTTGAAATGTTCTGTTGTTCCTGCAAATATTTTAGTGCAATCGCAGTAGTAGGTTTATATATTTATTTGACACAATCATATGTGTCATGTTGAATTCGTTATCTCAATTATTAATATTAAATTAAATTTCTTTGTCGGACAAACAAATATAAATACACCTAACAATCACCTATAAGTAGAATAAATTTGTAAGTTATTATAAATCGTTTATTGGTCTTATGTCGAAAACATATGTAATTTATAAATGACAACAGCTGTTTACCCAAAATACTGGTTTTGACCATACCGAAAGAAAAAATCTCTTTCTATTTCATTTTTTATTATGTTTGAAAATTATAATTGTAATTATTCTGCCCCTTTAAGGCGCCGTGGTAAACAAAGTATTTGTTTGTTTTTTGTTTGTTTGTTTTTGTGAAAAGGATAAAACCATCATTAACATAGGCTGACGTTTCCTATCCTTTTGCACAATTATATAAAATATGTTGTCAAAGACAGATGTATCATGATATACCGTTGTACCATAAAGCCTCTGTCGTAAAGATTTCCCATGTTTACTAGATTTTGCCATCAGCGATTTATTGACAATTTTTTTAATTAAAAAGAAAAATTGTCAGAGGGCGTACATTTGTTTACTGTTACATATGTATGAGGTCGAATTCCACTCGTGGCAAGGTGCGTTTGACTCCGATCTTACTAGTAATTTCAAGGATTGCCAGGTTTCCACCAATAAAAACTTGCCGCCGTGACATAGCAATAGCCACGGGTTCTAACGCAGCGTAATATACCTATAATCAATTTTTTCGAAGAATTTCTAATTTGCCGTTTTCTAGTAAATAAACTATAACTCTGAAAATAGATCATATTTACGTCTTGCACTTACTCAAGTCATTAGTGATTTACTCTTATCTTCAACAAATGATTGAAATTAGTAGTCTAAGGGTCTGTATACATTTTTTCGTTTACAGTTTTGTCGTTCCATAGTTACAGGACCTAAATCTTTGGACAATTTTGCAAATGTTGAAACGCAAGTCTGTATTAGGGGTCGGCTTATTACTTGACAATTTCCAATTGTGTCGTTCGAGAGTTATGGTACTTTACAAAATGTATGTTATTTCCCATTTTGCGTACTTATTTCTCAAATCTGCCTGATGAAATGTTCACACACTTCATTGTTCATTCAATAACATGCGTTGGATCTCAAACATTACCTACTGCTACTGAAGTGTGAACAAGCGTACAGCTGTCTTGACGCTGTTGTGTATCCTCCTGTAATTGGCGATGTATTTTGAAGTTCATATTGTTTGTACGCGAACAAATTTACCAATATTTATATTATTACAGCCATTTGATTATGGACGCATTAATATGGTTCGATCATCTCTACTACACAACTCCAGATGGTTGCTCGGAATTTTTCATGACGGGGATCTCTCGGTTTTGGAAACAAACAGCAGTACAAAATTAGACAATGTAGCAGTGATACAATACCCGACATCGCTTCTAAACAGATATCAACAAAATGAATTGGTATGTTAGTATGAATTTGTGATATAATCTATTTTCATTTTAAAGATGTATAGCATTTATTCTCTATATTTCCCCTCCCCCCTATGCAATCCCAAACTGGGACGAATTAAAACAAAGAACTACAATACTCTTTTAATACTACAAATACATGTCGAACCGAAAAAATCATTCTAAAAGTTACTTAAAATTATCTATCAACTTTCTTCCTTTAAAATAATAAAACAAAACAAGACCTTTGATGCAGAGATAGACGACTTCCTGAGGTACTCCTGTAAAAATACCAAAAAACATTGATGAAAGTTCTTTAGAAAGGACAAAAACGAGTTTCTAACAAACATAAATGCCTTCTACGGTTGTTATGGATTTATTTGTAGAAATTAGAAGATGCTGTCAGGAATGTTTTCATGCAAATGAGTGAATTAAACGACTCCAATACAAGGACATTAACAGAAGCTGCCATAGAAGGACTTTATGATGTAAGATTTTCAATACTGTTGAAATAATGAGAATTTTTCAGTGGAAAACCAGACAGTTATATATAACAAACATTATGCTTAACTACAAAAGTTACTGTGATATCATCAATTTGTAATCCATTTGGTTTGGTCGTATGACTCCTTATCCTTTCATTTTAATTGACAGACTCATGGAGACATACACGTCAATAACGAACCTTAAAATTGGAATCACAGTAATACAAGTCCTGTTAAATACGATCTATAATATACCCTTGACAAAAATATCTATATAAAGAACTAAACTACGAAATATGAGAATCATTGAAAAACAAAAGTAGTTCAAATATTTGATGTCCAAACCAAACGGACTTATGAGAACAAAAAATCATTTGTATACTTTTCAGATAGTCATAATAATTATAGGAGACGTGTTATTTGTCAATTAACTCAATCCAGTTCCCACTTTATTGTTTTCACTAATTTCAATCTGGTTTTATTTATAAGCGGCACAAACAAAATTGAGGGCAATTACAAGTGGCACATGCCTCAATGCCTGTTGAAGAGTATTCTTACACTGTAAAGTATAAATAAGTTTAAGTGTATGTTTAAATGCATAAAGTCAATTCAGTTATTAAAAATATTTCTATTGTAACGTAAAGTCAGACTGTAAACATATGTAATTTCGACAAGTTTATATTGGCGTACTACGCTATGAATCAACGTTCACAGTACTTTTGATCTGTTTAATTTGGTTTACGAAAGAGTTTTAAAGAATAACTTAAATTCATTTTTAGCACATTATTCAAATTTTCGTATATTTATTGGTCTCAAATTTTAAAACACAGATACAACAAAGGACAGTAAGTATAGTATTTGGAATCATAGAATAAATGTTTACTGTATGTAGCCTAAACTTAAACTTGTATGAAAATTAGCCTAACATAGACTTAATATACTTGTTGACCTTATCTTCTATACTGATAGCTACTTTCCATAACATTTCAATCTTCTATATATTTGTTAGTTAACTACAAATATTTTAACTAAAACGATCAATAGCTACAATTTAGACAAACATTTAAAATATGATTTTAATACAAATATTGATAAAAGCGGAATTTTGAAATAATATTTCGTTCAGTCAGTTTGGCCAAAATTTGTCAAAATAAAATCAGAAAAATCGTTGATGTATTCTTGACTTACAACTCATTGAATCCGTATAATGTGACCTTCAGTTTAATACCTTAGCTAGTGATTGGTTACGCATGTATTAGGCGTGTTCAGTTGGAAAAAGGAAAAGAATGTCAACATTGAAAGTGAAACAAGGGCGAACCATTTAGTGAAAAGTAAAATCACAAAAATATTGAACTCCGAGGAAAATTCAAAAAGGAAAGTCCCTGATCAAATGGCAAAAGACTAATTCGATTCACAAAAAATATTCTTATACATGTCAAAACGATGATAAACTTTAGTTTTAATCTATAATATGAAATCCAACAGACAGAAAAATCCAATCGCTATTTTGTTTATATTTATGTGTTTAACGGGTTATATTACCGTTGGCAGTCTATGGAGGTAATCTAGACGGTAAATTAGATTGCGTCTAGACCAAAATACACACAAAATGCTGGTACATATTATCGAGTACACGCATTTTTAATTGTTTAATTCATACTTTTTGTAATTTGGATAAACGTTTTAGTGTGTTATAAATCAAATATGAGAATTGGAGTCAAATCGGCAAAAGTAAATTCGACAGCTAATGCCCCTTTAAGTAACCGAAGAAGCTACATGGAATTTTTTTCACAATTAAAATGTAAAACACAAACGATGTCCTAGAAGCTGTAAAAGACTCCCTATATCTCAGGTTCTATAAGCAATGATTTGTTAAAGAATTCTATTGAATTTGAATGTGAATGCATTATTTACAATTAACTATTACAAAAACCCCATTAACATTCCATCGCTATGATTTTCGTCGTGGTGATAAATTTCTGATAGCCATCTAAAATCATTTTGTACTTTGACATTTTAATCTTTCGCTCCCTGTTTCTTCTGTTGTTTCTTGTACTTCTTTCTCGTTTATATCAATTATTATTTCATAAAGTTTCCATTATATATTGAAAACATTTTTTTTTCTTCTTTAAAAAAATGTTTGTTATGGTATCCTTAAATCTGATACATTGATATTATGTTTATATCATTCCATCCTGTAGTTTGTACTTTGATCATTAATTATTTTGATGTAGAATATATAAAACAATCTTTGTGCAAATATTTTTACGACGGTTGTTAAATAATAAAATTTGTTTTCCTATGAGTGGTTTTAAAAGTATATATCATCACATATAACAACAATTAATTGCTTGCATTAAAATGTGATCACCAAAAAAGTAAGCAAGTACTTTTAGCATTTGTATTGTGAAACGATTTGAAGAATTGCGTCGTCTTCATATGAAATATTGGTTTCCATGAAATGTACTAATATCATTAGATGATAACCTCAATGACAATAACATTAACAGTACCAATTTTACTGCACAAAATGCGCATGTCCACAATAAATGTCTCTTCAGTAATGCTCGAGACCAAAATATTCTAAATCCAAAGTTATTAAAAAAAAAAAATTAAGAGCTTATAATGTGTAACACTTTATTTGTTCCTCTCTCATATTATTTTATGGCGGAAGATTTGTCTCTGTAAATAGTTACCAGACATTGTATTTCACGGGTAAATTTCTTCCGGAGGAGTGAACAGTCTTTCCATCTTATATTGAATGAATTTAACAGTAAATGCTTTCCAGTTATAATTTCACATGAGCTTGTGAAATACAATCTCATTGTCTACTATTTAAGGTACTCACAATATATATATACTTAACCATAATGATAAATGTGTCACCAAGGCAGAACATATTTGCATAATTTATCAATCAAAGGGAGGTAATTATGAGAGTTTTTCATTATATGTATACTATATTTCGGAATAAATTTCATAGTAAAATTGTTTCTTTTTTTCTTAATTTCTTAAATATAAAATGATGATTTGAACTTAAAACTAAATAGACGGAAAATATTTCACAGGTAATACTATCCAGATTTGAAATATTTTGCGGGGCAGCATTGCGCTGTAAAATACTGTATGGAAAGTATTTATCATTAAACAGGTTCCAAAATGTATTATACACGACGAAAGCCCTCATATCGTAAAGGCGCATTACTGTAGTGATGTAACTATATTTCTACCTTTACCTTTTTAATTGTACTCACATCTGAAAACAACTCACTTAAACCTGTATTTCACTTACCTTATTTTCTCATTAATCAGGATATTATTTCACAATTAAGATCTGTTAAATTATTTCTGGTTTTGTTACATATTTTTCATGATAATTTCTTCTTTTTTATATTGTGAATATGTAATAAAAATTTCTGTTTGAACGGACGATATTTTACTTTATTTTATTTTACAATCAACATCTGTGATATTATTTCCGATTACAATACAATTTTTTGGGATTTTTAATCACTCCTTCAGCTTTTATTTAAATACTCCCTTATTAGTTCATAGTATTTGCAAAGATTTAGTTTTTTATTAACTTTCCGATATTTTAATCGTTAAATCTGACTACTTTGGCTGAAAACAACAATTTCACACCTTCTATTTGTAAAACTTTCTGGTAAAAATTGCATGTCAACGAAAAATATCTCACAGTGAAATAATTACATTACATGTATGGCTCGTTATAACACGTTATCTTTATTGGCAACCATCAATGTCGCGTCATTCTGAAATTAACCTTCATTTTGAAATAAAATGTAACATTCATTATGACGCAATCTTCCACAATAAAATGCACAGGTAAATAAAAGAAAAACTTGAACGAAATCGTGTTTTCATGATCCTAGCAAACAAAATGTAGTTATAAGTATTCAATGCTTCCTTTAGTAATTTTATAGGGTTGTAAAAGCGTACGGGCCTCCGCTCCATTATTTCCTAGGAATGGAGAGTTATTTGAACTTTCTCTATAACATAAATTTACAAAAAAGAAGCTTTCAATTCTTAAATAATTTCCTCCGGAACGATTCTTACAATATCACATGTAATATTTTTCCGCCGGATGTTACTTCATCAGGATAGAATTTTGCTTTACATTGGTCATTTGATTTGATTTGACACTTGATATTTTGATATCTAAATATCTCAACAAAAGGTAGAGTGTCATCCTTCTCCTTAAAAATAAATTTTGATTATACATATCTCCGAATTAAAAAATCACATGTAAAGTAAAAACGCATTTACCTTTTTGAAAACATCATTGTTGTACTTCTAAAATCAGTAAAATGAGGACATTTGTCTTATAAAAATACGTTGGTTAATTATAACTTTCTATAGCGACGGTTTTGATTTTTTTTCAGAAATGTCAGTGATCAAGCTTGATTCTAATGAATAAATGTTGCTAGGCGAGTAAAAGGTTACTAATTAAGGCGTGAAAATCCGGTTTATAGGCCATGTTTGCAAAATTGAATTGGCTTGTTTATTACTTAGCTACAATAAATGACGAGAATTTTTGATAAATATGACATTATGCGATTGCTATCATACCCCATTAAACCAAACTATCTGATTAAATTATTGCAGACTCACATGGAGGATGATATCTGCATTATCAGCATATTCAGAATTAAATAAAAATTTACAACATACATATTTTGTCAAATTTTTTGAATTAGATTTCTTTTTATAGATTGATTCCGATGAATTTAAAGATTGTGCATGGCTGCCAATAAAAACACTAATATGGCACACAAGGAAACGAGGATTGAGTACTGTTGGATATACACAGCTAACGGGAAGTCTACTTGTGTCAAAAAACGTTTATCCAAACTCAAAATTCGGCTTTAATAGACGTAAATTCATTGTAAGCTCTTTGCCAGTAAGTGATTTGTATATGTATTTATATATTCTCTTAATTAAACACTAAAAGCATGTAGGTTTGTTCATTTAGAGTAAATTAATGAGCACATATAAATATATTTATTTTTTTTATTGATAATTTTCAAGTTTGATTAGAAGTCAGCTGCATAAAAACGACAATGAAAGTAACGATAATTAAAAGTTACGGTCCAACTTAGACGTATTCACGTCTATCGGAAATAGGACAAAAACAAATATTGGTAAAACATACAGTTGCTTGTACGTATGCCAGCAACTTACTCACCTTTATAATTCTATGCATGCTTATCTTTAGTTTCCCAAAAAGCTATCTATCTATAATACTACATTATTTCTAACAACTAAATTTAGCGCTTGTCGTGATGACAGTCTAATTTGAAAGTATTTGAGTGTGCTCTCGTATTTGAATTTGTGTTTACATGCCAGTCTTATTTAAGAAATGTATATTTTGTAGTGGAATCCATTTGTTGTCCTAGATAATGTAACACACAATTTTACTGGATTCACCATAGACCTACTACAGGAGCTGGCACATGAACTCAACTTTACGTAAGTTTCTATATTTAAAAGTTACCTAAAAGAATCAGATAAAAAAATTATCGTTAGATATGGAAATTATTTCAAGAATTGATTTCCTCGATAGATGTCCTTGCCATGTGCATGTCGGACAACTCGACAGTTTATTTTTTGGTGCCTTCAGTATTTTTTCTTAGAATTTTGCATGTATGCATTAACTTTTGTTATCATTATTGCAGTCAACAATACGTCAATCACAGCTTCTCTTGGCATGCGGGGATTTCGGATGTGGATCATTAAGTCATTTATTAGTCTGTGCATGAGGACTGTTAGATGTCTATTTTTGCGATTTAAGGTGTTTGATTGCCAACACTTTGACCTTTTATCGACCTATAAATTTTCATAAACTATAGAACATTATCTGAAAGTGAAGTTGTTCACACAAAGCACCCAATAATTTGAAAGTTTTCAAATCTCTTAAAATGGTTGTACTACACAGTTTTCGATGATCGACCACATTTTATTGTGAAAACAAACAAAAGAAAGAGATATCGCAGAAGAGGGAATAAATTGTAGTTTTAGATCTTGAACTTTGGGCGATTTTAATTGTCCTATAAATCACCAATCGGTGAAAAATAAAAAAGAAGTAACTTTTAATAATAAATATAATCTTTAAACTCTATAAACTCATCTTAGATACGAGGATTATAATTTTGTACGACAGACGCGCGTATAGTTTACAAAAGACGCATCGGTGACACTCGAATAAAACTTACGAAGTTCAGGAGCAATGAGGACCCAAAATTCCAAAAGATTTTCAAATGATACATTCAGATATGTATAGAACACACCAACCCATCGTATACGACTGGTTTAAAATAAATTCATTCGTTATTCAAGACATGTTGCAGTAATTCTATAGAAATATACAAATGTACAGATCAAAAACGAAAGCGTCAGAGAACACACCCAATTGAGAAGATAGGAAATTATTTTCACTCACATTGATGCTTTTAACTTCTTATTATATCCCGCTCTGAAAGAGGGGTAATATTGGTTTACCCTTGTACGTTCGTGTGTACGTTTGTCATTTCGATGAAGGTTTTGTTGTATTTTTATCATAAACTACAAACCATAACGTTCTGAATATTGGTATCAAGCTTTATGTTACTTTTTATAACGTGTGCATGTTCACATTCATTGCTTATCAAATTTCTGTATACAGAATACTTACATATTCTAACAGATAATGACCATGTATCACATTTTCGTCACATAATTCTCAGGAATTTAGTATCAACCTTCGTGTGAGCATGGTATACATTGTGATGTGTTTTCACATCCATTCCTCACCAATTTTCTGTTAAGGAAAACTTAATACTAGTAGATAAATAAAAAAAAAAACGCAATATTTTACATAAAAAGTTTTATAATATGCAGAATTCTTAATCGTTAACTTTTTGAAGGGATGAACATAATCATTTATAATTATCATTTCCTCAATCGCTAAAGATTTTTATAACGCGAATCTTTCAATACAACATAGTCCCTTCTAATAAGACTTTTATAGTTGTCAATAAAGAAATAAATGTGTTATACTGTTAAATGTTGTTGTAGGTATGAAATGACATCCCCAGCAGATGGTCAATGGGGTATAGCGACAAAAAATGGATCATGGACAGGTTTGGTAGGACAACTTCAACGAAGGGTAAGTACTGCATTTGTTTTTAAAGTATTCATTTATCTGTATTTTTCTACGAGGTATCAAACCGATTTTAGTGCACAGGACACGTGTTTTTGAAATAAAAGTCACCAAATGTATTATGACTAAAGGTTTAAGACACCAAAGAGTATATCTTAAAGGGACTTTGTTTTAGAAAAATTGAAAGTACTTTTGTAATTAAAAAGTATACACTTGTGAAGTTCTAAATTTCTTAAATATACTTTTATTAGGAAAAAAAAATAAAGTAAGACACACTATATAAAGCCAAGAATGGTTAGGCGAAAATTTCAATGGGAAATAAAAAATCACAAGTCGGGAAAAACAGACAACACAAATATTAAAGAAAACAATAAAAGGAAGGACAAAAACAGTTATAAAATCTTATCAAAGATACCAAGCTTATTACTGGAACAGTTAAAAGGCCAAATCAAATACGAAACTGAAGATCATTAAAAAACAAAAGTTGTGCCAATAACGGCAAGACAATCTATGCCTGGTGGTAATAAAACCTTAGTGTTTTGAATAATTCAACATTGATCAAACTAGAGAATTTGCAAAAAAATAACAATGATATTTCATGTCAACACAAAAGTGCTGACTACTGGGCTGGTAATACTCTCTGGGACGAAATATCCACCACCAGTTGCATCGAATGGGTTGTAATATTTAATCATTGACACAAGGCTTATAATTTGAAATAGACCAGACGCGCGTTTCGTCCACATAAGACTCATTAGTGGCGGTAGATTCAAAAATGTTGTAAGGCTCAATCAAATATGAAGATGAAAAGCATTAAAAACAAAAAAATCCAAAAATTTGCACCAAGTACTATAAAACACTCCCCTGTTTGAGCTACACGAATCTCATAAAAACAAAATTTGAACGATGCTGCTCATGAAGGGTAAACAGTTTCTTTTCTATTAATAAATTCCATTGTGTTACTCGAGTTAAAATCTGATGAGAAGTCAAAATTGTTGATAACACAAAACATTTTAACGTCAATGGATAAGTAGCATTACCGACAGAAACAATGCATACATCGAATAAACAAAAATAAAACATGAGTAACTCAAGAACAGAGGCAAAACATGAAAAAAACTGACAAAAATTCAATACTACAAATACAGATCAAAGACAACACTAATCCCAATCAAATAACTAAATTTTAAATCAGGTGATCTAGAACGGTAAGAGAATCCTGCTCAATTAGTGAATTTTATCCCCATCAATTAAGTCTTCGTATTTAACTATGGATGCAGTTGTTCAGAGATTAAACTGAGCTGCAGAGGCGGTCGAATACTGGAATGTGGTATTTGAATAGTAATTTGTATTTAACATATTTTTATGAAAATATAGGAAACTCAGCCAAACACTTGCAAAACTATAAACTGCCATGAAATTGAGGTAGTTTGTCATTTCACGAAAAATTCATTTGCAAAGATAAACAATTACCTGAAAATTCTAAAAATTCTGAATATTAATACAATTACTGTTTAATTATCAACTTTCTGATTCTTATGTTTGCTATAATTCCAGGATGTAGATATAGTGGCTGCCCCCTTGTCAATACAGACAGACAGGGAACGTGTTATAGATTTCACAAATCCATATTTTTATGAATCATCTGCTATCTTAATGAAAAAGCCTGATCCGAACTTAACCAAATGGAGAACACTGATAGATCCATTCAGCCCTACTGTCTTGTTATGTATATTTATTTCCTTGCCGATTTCATCGTTCTTTCTGTTTTTCTTCGAAAAGTACAACCCATACTATAGAAAAGTAGAGGATAGAAGTAAAGTTCGAGGATTGCATCATTTTTCAGACTCGTTTTGGTATATGTATGGTGCTCTGTTGACACAAGGTAACTTTTAACGTCTTCTTTTTTTAAAAGATATTGCAATACACTTTCTACACATGGTTTGTGGTAGAGTATGTTAGTATCTATACGATTCTTCCAATATTTTTCTTTGTTTTTATTATTGTCACTTTGATATGTTTTGCCTGTTTTTAACTGCCACTGATAACGGAATTTTAAAACAAACAGTAACATTTTCTTCTTCTGTAAGAGCGGCTTCAAATATGGAAAATGAACATTGATCTTTCTTGACATGAATCTTAAATGGTTATAAAATTTCAAAAATGTAATCCATTAACTGCATTTCATCTTATTTTCCTTAATGTTGGATAAAGCAAAAGCAATCGAAAATTTAACAAACAGAAAGGTGGTTTTAAATCCATCCATTAGCTTGCATTAAAGCAATTGTTGCATTAAAATCATGATTCAATATAAAAACAATATTTTAATCAAATTGAAGAAATGCATCCATCTTAAAAACGTAAAAGTATGTCCTTTTGTGTTTGACTTTCTTAACACTAGATATTATTGAAAAATTATAATGATATTCTATGGAAAAATATGAAAATCAGAATTTATAAGTTTAAAAAGAACAGACGATCATATGAAAAAGTCGAAAAGTTTCACAAACTACTACACAAAAAAACCTAAAGTTAAGAAGCATGTGTATGTTACTTTGATTTGTCTCTTCTGAATTGATTAACAAGTTTTAAATATCGGTAAACTACTGTTGCCTTAATTTATACCACCAATATTTTTCTCTAAAAGAGGTTGTGAATTTGATCACTTTGGAAGAAGTATCAACTTTTATTGTCATTTGATATTTATGACGTGAATACTTTTAATCATTGGTAATTGTCCCCTAAAATACCTATTGCTGATTTCATGTCCACGGCATTTCACGATTCCGTGTTTCAATCCATAAAGAGATGGAAACGAAAAAAAAAAATAACAGATGACCATAAGTGTTAACCTTCAGTTGACTATTGCTCAGAGACATTTGAATATACTTCACAATTCGGATGAATAAAAGTCTTCATAAAAATTTTCTTTTGTATTATATATATATGTATTAATAAAACGTAATACCATTTCATCAACCAACCCTACAATGTCCTACCAAATTTACGTAATTTACTTTTTTATATTGATAGGTGGTGAACATATGGCAGATTCGTCATCAGGCCGTACTCTTTTAAGCTTTTGGTGGATATTTTGTATAATTATGATGGCTACTTACAGTGGTAACCTAATTGCCTTCCTGACAGTGACAAAAGACAAACTACCTTTCACAGATCTGTCAGGACTTATTGCTCAAGATAAATATGAATGGGGGACTCAAGGGGGATCTGTTTTCGAACAAATTTTTAAGGTAAAGTTACAGCTTTCTGTTTATCTTTTTGCAACATAATGTTAATGACTATATAGTGAACAAAACTGTTCACACAATAGTCATTACAAATACACGTCGTAGATTCACTTTCGAATATATTGTTTTCATATAATATCAAGACCGAAAGAAGAGTTTTAATTTCCTGTTTACAAAAGTATGAATTATTCGAAATACTAAGGATTTTCTTATCCCAGGCATAGATTACCTTAGCCGTATTTGGCACAACTTTTTGAAATTTTGGGTCCTCAATGCTCTTCAACTTTGTACTTGTTTGGCTTAATAACTATTTTGATCTGAGCGTCACTGATGAGTTTTATGTAGACGAAACGCGCGTCTGGCGTATTACATTATAATTCTGGTACCTTTGATTTACATCAGTGGAAAACACAGTTTAAGCTACAAGGTCTCGAAATAACAAAGTAGAATATAGAAAATGAGAAACTTGGCACATGCTATTAAAACCGTTTCTTTATAAATATATCATCTGTAAATGTAATATTCATTCAACTTTGCAATTGGAATTCACCAAATGTTAAATACTCCATGAAATTTCTTCCAATTTGAAAATGAGGAGATGTGGTATGATTGGCATTGAGACATCTTTCAAACAGGGACAAAATAAATAGATGTAAACAATTAGAGGTCACCATACTGCCTTCAACTATGAGCACAACTCAGACAATAAATATAAGAATAAAGAAAGCTATAAAAGATCCAAACATGACAAAATGTGTAACAATTCAAAGAGAAAACTCACGGCCTGATTAACGGTAAAAACAACAAACAAAATAAAATATGTCAGACAACCACCAACAATAACCAATGAATTACAAGCTTGTGGCGGAAAGAGATAAACAGAATATAGCTTAAACATCCCCTATCACAGGACAATGGTGAAAGAGCTGGAAAATCGGGTGTGCATTTGTTGGAAGATAATCAGTATGAACCTTTTCTAGACATTAGTGTTCCTTTTGTCGAATTTACGTTGTAAATTTTCCCAAAATTAATTGGTATACACGTGTACTTGTCAGAAGTGAGGTTTTGCATTTGAATGTAATGTATAGCTGGAAAATTACAACGTTTAGCATGTTTAGGATTCGTTGGTATTTATTATTTAACATGGTATTTCTAAGTTACAGAGAGATGTACAAAAGTCATCCTTAAGAAGCTCATTGAATTATATTATGATATTACGTGTACATCAATAGTTGTGAGATAAAATTCATGTAAATAATGCATTCATTTCCCTAAAGTACTTTGATAGTAGGGTGCCCAGTGTCCAAAAAGAGATAACGAGTTTAAGTTAACGGATAACACACGGCAATTTATAGGAAAATCATTATATTTTACAATCATGATTGTCGTCGTAAGTTCTCATAGTCACGATTTTCTAAATTTCGTGTTTTTACAGGGTACCTTTAAATACCGTATTGTACGTGGAATCTTTAGCATGAAAAATAAAGTTGTTAAGCTCTTTCTTGGTGGTTATTTGAATTTATTTTGCTATAAACGCATAGATGTAGGGGCGGCCAGCTGGCTAAACGTGACTCTGCGTTTTCCTTGAAATTTTAGCTTTGACCTTTGACCCAAAGTTAAGAAAATCGTGACCACTGTAGACAACAACGACATCAATATTTCGATGAGGCTTGTTTTCCTCTTTCCAATGATATCAAATACAGCCGTGTGTTATTACGTTAACCCAAATCGATCAAATTCGTTGACTAGGCACCCTACTATGACCCTTTTTAGTCTTTTGAATAAATCTATTTGTCAAGCACTGAATGCTATCACTTCAAATTTAAAATTCAATCAAAGAAAGTCTAGCTGTTAACTAGAAAACGAAACCATGTGATTAGAAAATGAAAGAAATTCGATTAGAAAAACAATTGCTAATATTTTTTCAAGCATACGTGTATATGTAAGCCTTTTTTCTGGTAGTTCTCTTAGTTTCCATCAAATAATTTTTAATATCTAAAACACTTTTAGATTTTGAAAGAGACCATATTAAGGCACTGTACTTTACCTGTTTTCTTAATAAGTGTGAAAAAAAAATCATCAAATATACCAGGATAAAAAATTTCTACTCAAGACGCGCGTTTCGTCTACAAAAGACCCCTCAGTGAAGCTTGAATCAAACAATTTAAAAGGCCATATAAAGTACGAAGATGAAAAGCATTGAGGACCAAGTCCGAAAGGTTTTGCCAAGTACATCTGATATTAACATGAAAAATAGGCCACGTCCACTTGTATTTGTAGTATTTGTATTTTTATCCATCTGATGAGTTAAGCCTCTTTCAACTGATTTTTATTGTTCGTTCTTATGTTGTACTGTTACACCACTGTCCCAGGTTAGTGAAGGATTGGGATCCCGCTAACATGCTTAACCCCGCCACATTCTGTATGTATGTGCCTGTCCCAATTCAGTGGTTGTCGTTTGTTTATGTGTTACATATTTGTTTTTCGTTCATTTTTTGTACATAAATTAGGCCGTTAGTTTTCTCGTTTGAATTGTTTTACATTGTCATTTCGGGGCCTTTTATAGCTGACTGTGCGGTATGGGCTTTGCTCATTGTTGAAGGCCGTACGGTGACCTATAGATGTTAATTTCTGTGTCATTTGGTCTCTTGTGGAGAGTTGTCTCATTGGCAATCATACCACATCTTCTTTTTTATATTATATACATGCAAAAATCTCTAATCGCTTTCTTTCTATTTATCTTTTTAATATGTTGTCCAGTTTATGATGTACTTTGAAATTACTAGTTATAAGGAATCCCATAAAAAAAAGGAAAAATAAAATACGTATTGAAATCGTCTTCAAACAACGAAGAATAGAAATACATGTTCTGAAAGGGTAAAGTTTAGAACCGTATCTAATTGGCTCTGTTATTACTTCATGATTTTCGTTTATTTATAGACTTCAGAGTTACCTGAATATCAGGAGGTTTGGAGACGAATTGTAGAATATAATCAAACTGACACACGAGTTCTGAGTGTTAAAGGGGATGTACAAATAGAAAAAGTTATTGAAGGAGACTATGCGTACATTGGAGACAAAACATACTTTGATATGACCATGGTTGATAATTGTGATTTAGCGATGACATTAGCTGAAATCCTCCAATTGCAGTACGCAATAGCTCTACCAAATAAGTCCCCATTTACCAAGATGTTTTCAGATGAGTAAGTAATTTAGATTAAGCACCATACCTTCATAAACATTTACATATGTAAGCTAAGAGAAACAAAAGTTCTGTTTAAAGTAAAATGTAAAAAAGTGGCAACTATTTCAGGAATATTTACTATAAAAACAAATTTTACTATTTCAAATGTTAACTCAATCAATCTGAAAAGCAGATTGACATCGATTAGGGCTCGATTTTTTAATTTCTAATGTCACTTGAATTTTGTACAAACAACTGTACATTGCCGGCTTATTTGCATGTTCTTCAAAGTAATTGTCCATTAGATTGACGAAAATTCTGTCCGCAGTAAAAGGGGGTTTTCAGTAATACAGTGGAACTTCTGGATGATTTTAAATCTCGATCTTTCTCTGAAATTAATTCTATCAAAACTTTTGATTTTTCAACCCTGTATACCACCATTCCCCATGTGAAATTGAAAAATAGTCTAAATGAAATAATCTCAATGCTATTTTCAATACACAAATTGTAGCATACGCTATGAATTTATTGCTTTGGGATGCCATACGGCATATTTTGTTAAAAGTGAAATAAAAGGTTAAACATGTTACACAGAGGAACAAGTGATCAGTATGCTGGCGTTTCTTATCGACACCATATTTGTTGAATTTGGAGGCAGACTTTTTCGACAAATTGTCGGCTTTCCTATGGGAACGAACTGTGCGCCTCTCCTTGCCGACCTCTTCTTATTTTCGTATGAGTAGGAGTTCCTTTAGACACTTCAAGAACAAGAAGATCAAAGAAGCCAGATCATTTAATTTTACATTCAGATATATTGATGATGTTCTTTTCATTAACAATTCAAACTTTACTGATTGGGTTCCATTTATATATCCTCCGGAACTAGAAATTAAAGAAACAACTCACACCGCTTCCTCTGCCTCATTTTTAGACTTACACCTCGAATTTGACATAAGTGGTCATCCCAGTACCAGAATTTATGAAATTATAAATTTCACCCACCTTAACAGCAATATACCAACTTCACCGGCATATGGAATATACATTTCCCAACTTATTCGGTATTCAAGAGCTTGCAGCTGCTACTCAGACTTTAACGTCATCAGGGTCTGAACAGAAAGTTCATCGGAAGATACCAAGACCTTGTTGATAAATATTCCGTATCAACTTCATAAATAATACATGATGGTCTTGAAGTATAGTTTCTAGGTACTGACGTCGTTTATCATCTTAATAACGTGTTATAGTGTTCTTTTTATTTGTCTTTGCATATTTTAACCTTAACTATAAGGTCCATTTTTGGTATATACTTTTGGCGTGGCTAGGTATTCATACATCCCGCAATTGTGTTATTGTGCTATGGTCATTTTTGTATTCTTGTCTTTCATTCTTGCTTATTTACTTTGTCTATAGAGTGCCTTTATGCCTTTTTGTTTTTCTTTGTTGAAATAGCTATTATTTTTTTATAGTGATTAAGATTATAACACAATATTGACTGGTGTAGCCACATTTTTGCCATGTTTACCTATTATGTCTGTTTGTTTTGCTCTAACATTGTCGTCAATATAATGGAATTCTATATAACTGTCATATATGTGAGAGGTTCAGCTAGCTATAAAACCAGGTTTGATCCACCATTTTCTACCTAAGGGAATATCTGTACTAAGTCAGAAATATGACAGTTGTTTTCCATTCATTCGATGTGTTTGAGCTTTATTTTGCCATTTATAAGGGACTTTCTGTTTTTAATTTTCATTGGCGTTCGGTATTTTTGTTATTTTACTTTTTGAAAACAATAGCGTCATGTAGCCTGTTAAACCATAGCTGCTAACAAGGAAGCTATTAAACCAAGAGTTACAAATGGTGAAGTTGAAATCATCCCTTCGTAAATTTTGATATCGGATATGTTCCTTATGTCGTAACTACAATACCCTTCCCTTTTCACGAATGTGACCTACCGAATTAGACTATTTACCGGATTTGTAATAACATAAGCAACACGACGGGTGCCACATGTGGAGCAGGATTTGCTTACCCTTCCGGAACACCTGAGATCACCCCTAGTTTTTGGTGGGGTTCGTGTTGCTTAGTCATTAGTTTTCTATGTTGTGTCATCTGTACTTTTATTTGTCCATTTGTCTTTTTATTTTTGGCCATGGCGCTGTAAGTTTGTTTTCGATCTATGAGTTTGACTGTCCCTCTGATATCTTTCGTCCCTCTCTTCGAGAAATGTCCTTCATTGGAAAAGTTCGTCAATTATCCGCGCCTTTATGACGTCATTAATCAGATAGAGTGGCCCACCTGTATCCTTGCACTATAACAGTTCATCAAGCGTCTTCGTGATCGTCATTATTCAGGATAAACAAGAAATGATGTTTGTTCTGTTCGATACTTAATCATAATTCCCTAATGACAGCATTGCTGATTATCAATGATAAGAATTTATTTTTCCGAATAATTCGTGCAATACAGCACCAAATTTTTTCAACCGCTCGTTCAACATTTGAAGGAAGTGACGATGTCCCTAAACACACGAATAATGTTCACTAAAACCAAAGTTTTTGGCGGAAATGCAACGAACTCGAAAGTGGTCTATTGTCTGGTCACTGATGGTATTTTGTTTACTTTTTAGCAATAAAGACATGTTCTTATTATTGTAGACTTTCATCAAATATAACTTGAATGGTCTTTCTGAGCTGTAAACTTTGGAAAATATGTTAAATATTTACCTGTATACAAGTTTAGACAACTCATCAAACCTGTGTAGGAGTTACATTTAAGGATCCTAAAATATAACGCATTTAAATCTATAGAATGCATTTGTTTTAGTAAGCCATTTAAGAAAAAAATTAAGAAAGAAAGTTCAAACAACTCTACAGATATTAGTCGTAGTTTCTGACCTCGGTACAATAAATATTCAGAATTTTTATTCTTCTAGTCGTTGAAATTGACAACCAATGACACAAATGCTATTGATTTCATTCGTTGGATTTTTCATAGTTGTTAAGAAAAACATATATGGAATTTAAAAAACAACCTTAAAGGTCGTCTGAAATGGATACAACATAGTCATTCTACTTGCAACAAATTTAGAACAATGACAAACAACACAAAATTTAATTGATTTAAAACTCATCAAAACCACTTGAGAAAAAACACAGAAAGAAAATTGAAAACATAGGATACTAATATAAACATACACATACAAATAATTTCAAACTGTTGTTTTCCTTTCATATTGTGTTTTTATAAAGTATTTTTTTTAAATATATTGTCCTTACTCTTCCAGGATTATTGCAATACATGAAAGTGGACTACTTCAGATATGGAAGTTAAGACATTGGCCCAAACCTGGATTTTGCAAAGGATCTCTTCTTAAGGAGCCTAAAGCTATAACACTTATAGATGTTCAAAGTGCATTTTATATGATAGGAATTGGCATTTTCGTGGCTTCATTTACCCTGTTTATTGAGTTTTTAAAGCAGACATACTGTAAATGGAGAGAAAAGATCGGTAAGGCAAAAGAGAAACCCGAAACGATAAGACACGTAAGCACAATTCCAAAATTAGACGAATTCATATCTTACTGAACTATTACTGAGCAAATCTAATAACGACGGGAAACGTTCACTTATTAAATGACCATGGGCTTTTGAAGAAGATACATCAAAAGTCACCTGATTTGTATTACGGTCATGGTAGCTGCAGGAAATAAACTACTGTTGCTCTGTGCTGAAAGGGAAAGATATACATCCGAATGACAATGAACAACGATTTAAAAAAATGAAATTAGATAAAGATCAACAACAGATACAGTTATTTCTTAAGTCAACACAAATAAAACAATGGTTTAAAGACGCGTTTATGTTTTTCATATGATTTTTGTTATAAATCCTTTCAAAGCATTTGTTTTTTTTACCGATACGCATATTGTATTATTCATTGAAACACCAAGGAACTTTGAACTATTATGTTGTTATACGAATTGTATTATTGTGTTAAATGAAACAAATCTTTGTAATAAGTTTTAGTTTCTAAGATGGCATCGTCGAAAAATGTTTTTAGTAAGTAGGACCAGGATGAGGTAGGATAAGAGCCATTTTTTGGCCGCTGGAATTGAAAGAATTTGTCAAGTTCTTCTATCCTTTTAAAACTATGCTTCTTCAATAGGTTTGCCTATCAAAGACTAGTATAACATACTTTGAACACTATAATATATATATAATAATAAGTCTTGATGTCTCTATGTTGCTTTTAAAACCATCTCTTTTAGCTCTCGATTTGGTTTTACGACTTTTTACATTCAAACATCAATGTTTACTATCTTAAATATGCAGTTATAAATACAAAAGCATAATTTGTTCATTTAAACGAATATGTTAATAGCCTCAAACTGTTTTAGCCAAGGTTGTCTGAAACAAACTATTCAATTGTAGACAAAATTAGTCATAACTAAATGTTTGACCATCAAAATGTGCAGTTATGATGTCATTTTACTCTAGTAGTATTTGTTGGAGTTTAGTGCTATTATAGTTGCCTGCTACTTGTACACTTGTTTTCATCAAATGTTTACAAAACATTTTTCAAAATCAAATTTCATTGAATTTAAGGGTCAGTTTTGATGCTTCGTGAAGCCACGCCTGAAAAAACCCAATTTAATTGCGAATCACAAACTTTTGGCTGCCTTTCAAAGTCTGTTATACGAAGTTCTCTATGAAAACAAAATAATTTGCTGAGTAATGTTACGTATGATGTGCAAGAAATTGAATCGCCTATAATGCTGTTGGAGCTTTTGGTAAATCTATTTTGACCTACCGATTGGTTTAAATTTTGGAACGCGTTTGCGTCGATAAAACTTACATGCTGTTTTTACATAACGACTAGTGTATTACGCATGCTCCATTAGAATCGACCAATAAGAGGGACATGCCTGATACTACATTACAAGTGAAATATAAGAATTGTTTTAGATTTTTCTTTTTCACACTAATGCTTGATATACATGCTCTTTCTGAACAGTTCTAGCAGTTATCATTACTAGTATGCCTTCTGCATTCATTTGCGCATGTTTTTGAGAAAACGGAATCATTTAAAAAAATCAAGTTTTAAAACTTTTGACATGTGAGAACTAGGTAGACTAAACTTATTAACCAATGAAAGTGTTTAAGAAAATATTTTCACATCGAAGGAAATGCACATCGGTTAGTTGTTTATTTCAAACTGCAGTAATCGATTTTAATATGTTTTAAGAATGGTGAACGGGATTGAAATTTGTTAAGTTTAAACATTTTTTTTTTTTTTTATCTTATATCAAAGGACGTTGAAAACAACGATTGTGACTACTTCATTAATTTTGTATTGGCATACAATTTTTTTCATTTTCTCTCAACAGATACGTATATTTTCAATTCACCAACATACAATCAAACCTTTTTATTAAACCCATTGATGATGAGTAATAAGTGATTGTTTTCTCATTATAATAAATATATATTTAACACTTTAAGTTGAATATTTCCTTTTTGAAATACTGGCAAACTGTAACGAAAAGGATGAAATTATACTGTTTTAATCAATTCATGTATAATTCTATTATGACACAACTGGTGAAACGAGAACCAATATATTGTACATGCAGCCTTTTTGTTATTTTAAGAGAGAGAGAGAGAGAGAGAGAGAGAGAGAGTTTAAATTCGCACATCAAAATGTGAACTAAATTTGTATGACTTATAATGTTATATAACGATCTTTGTTATGTGTTGATTTTTTCTAATTGGGCAAATAAGTTAAGCTTAAAGTTGGAATCAAATGCTGACCATTTTTTATGATATTACTAAAGTCTTGATAATGTTCTTCCATTTATTATCATTAGAATTAATTTCACTTTTAAATACAGCGATGTCACACGTCTAATGTAAAATATAGTTTTCAAGTACTACTGGTAATATTTCTAATGTATTATAACATGTTTTACAATATGAATAAATTTTTGTACAATTTACTCAAGCTCTTCTCTTCTTATGCTGTATGTTTACTTGAATGGAAAAAAAAGGATTCACTCAATTATATCCAATATTGTATATATAGGAAGGTGATCTCAATTTATGCTTCACGTTCACCTTTAATGAATCTGATCGTTAGTTTTCAAACACACAGATGGTAATTTATGTCACAGATGGTACCTTTATACTTTATGGCACTTACCTCCGAAACTTATATTTGACAAAGAAAACGACTTTTTTAGCCATGGCGTTGTCAGTTTGTTATCGACTTGTGAATTTGAAAGTCTCTTAAATTTCTTTTGCCTCCCTTTTAATTTTATTTTTACGAGTGAATATTTGCTTCCAGGAAATAGTTTATACCCAGTTAATAGTTTTTGAAACTATAAACTGGTAAATAGTCTTTTGATGAGGTAAATTAATTAGTCTACAATTTTATAAAGAAGATACATACTGAAGTGTACTAATTATAACAATAAGGTGTATTGTAACACGTTGAATGTTCGATTAATGAGTTTTAACATGGGTAAAGCACTGTTGTCTATACAGAAAAAAAAACAAAAAAGGAGGGAATCGCATGAACTTCAAAAGGAGCGAGACCGAGTGTGTCGACAGCAAAAACGTGTTCTTCTATGCATACATCACCCGCCATTGGGATATGAAGTCAAAATCAAAATGACATAATCGATAAAAGAACACAATCAGAAAATCTACAGATCAGACGGCTATTCATGAATCTAAAGATTTAGGACCGCACAAATATGTCGCTAATGTTTTCAGGCATAGGGAACGACCTCTTCCAGTTGCACGTCAAGATCAATCCAAAAATCGGGAAAAACGGAAAATTCCGGATTGTTGGTGGAAATAACCTTCTTTAGACTGCCGTACCTATATCAGTTTCTATCCAAGATAAGCACTGTTGTGATAAATGTGTTCACGGGGGTTCAACCTACATGCAGACTACAGTGGGACACATCTATCAGCATCCCCTCAGTCTTGCAGTTCAAGAAGTAGGTAGAAAATGGTTTTGACGCTTTCCGCACCAGATACCAACTTTGGGCCGCATATCTCATCTCCTCATTAGACCCATCCTGCCCCGTGATCCCTTATCTTGGCTTTATTGTCATCAATAAGACACAACAGCAGAGTTTAGCCCCTTTGCATTTAATTTGCTTCGTTTTGAAAATAAACAAAAATTCTACATTTCTGAAAACAATTCAGCACAATAAGAGGTAACACATCAAACTGTGATGTAAAATCAATGTTGGGTCTTGTGCTTTTAAAATTCTGAGGAAACGAAGTTTTGTATTCCAGATGTATATAATCACTATAATATATTCTACCTAGTTTAATACTTACACCTATGTGTAGGAAATATTTTGTTTTAAATATGTACTACTTTCCAGTATGCTATTTTTTACAAGGCCCGATTTGGTGGTGATACAAAGTCTATCCGAATCATTTTGCAAATAATTCCGCTCTGACGTACAAACTTCTAATTATGGTATCTATGATGAGTTTATTGGTACAAAGTACAGATGATATGTATTGTTCTTCATCATGTACAGTCACCTAGTCGGTCTTGATCGTACAATTCGCCAGTTGTTGATGCAGTTAGCTGGACAGAATACGTGTCTTAAAATGACTTCTAGCGACATATTAAGGACGATTTGCAGCTACAACGAATTTCAGTATACATCTTAATTCTTATTGATGAATATTATAGAAATTCGTCGTATTTCAGTATTTATTAAACCTCTTCTGAAAGGTTAATGTTTCGGATGTATAACTAAGATAATTGTTTCCCCTTAAAATAATATTAAATTGGTATCCGCCCTTAAACTTTTACCGAAGCTTTAGTAACACTGCCATATTATTTTTTTTTTTATTATTACAACGCTAAACATGCTACAATGGTTTCTTTTGTTTAACTAAAGTTTAAAAGCTGATTACAGTAACTTTTTACTGACATGAGAGAATAAATATGGTATGTATAAATATTACGACAAGCATTGACAAAACAGATATCTCTAGAGTTCAGTTGCAGGGTTTTTGTAACATTTGCATTTATAGAAGGACCAAGATTTTACATTTGTCTATACGGAATACTATCGCGTCATGCACATATGAACTATCAAATTGTGAATTTTCCAAAACAATATACCCAACAATTAACGAAACGATATGCCTTCAACTTTTTTTAAACGATAGATTGCCATATAGATTGAAAGGGAAAGGAGAGACGGGCGTAGACACTAGATGATGCCTACATATCCGCCACGCCCGTAATATCAGTTGCTAAGTGCCCTTGTAATTTCGTTAAACTGGTTAATCTAAGATTATACTAAAAAAGGAACGAGAATACCAAAATGGCAATTTATAACAGTAAATCGAAAACGACTGGCAACATGATGATCAAGAGAATAACGGTCAACTGACAAATAACAGTAAAACAAACCAACTCTAAAGATTATGCAAGACGAACCCAACCAAAACCTGATATACAAAAAAGGAGTTGTAAGAAGAATTTTCACTCGGAAATTTCATGAAATTAAACTTTCAACTAATGTGAAACATTCTAAAGGAAGAAACGAAGAACTAGTAGACCTGATCAAAACTAGGATTGCAAAGGCCACATAATTATTTACCTCTGGTCCAAGACATGCGATCTCACAACAAAAGAAAGAAAATACATCAAATTAAAATTCCACAATAACAGAGCAATCAAAATTATAGTGGATCAAAACAAAAGAGCTATATATATTGTTAACAATGATCAACATGCTGAAATAAAAGTTTTTGATTGTCCGCTACTATCTATATCTAACTGGAACAAGAACAAAGGCCATACAAGACCAGAAACATACAAAGTTGAGGATTTCCTAGTGACCAAACAAATACAGGAATTAAATGGTAAAATATACGAACTAAACAGTAAACTCAACAAAACATCATTGAAAATAAGTAAATACTTTTTGAGAGGGCGGAAGAGAAGGAAAGGATAAACACGTAAATCGGCCAACATGTTAAATAACAACAAGGACGGTAAACATCATGGACGCCTACTAAGCCTAGCAATTACTAGGAATATATTTCTGGACACATACACCGAATGCTTCAATAAAGACAAGGCATCTGAATTCATACAAATTTGAGTTGAACAAGAGGAATTAAACTCCTTATTCTGATCAACATTTTCAATAATACCAAGAAAACACAGGTGCCAAAAGTGAACAGACAAGACGAGAAGTAAAATTCTTAGTGAGTTTATCTTATCAGGTTTTGCTACTTACCTCTTGTATAGAATCACCACAAAAACATCACACCTATCCAATGTTTTCTCTTCCAGAATTTGACCTTTAAGTGATTGAAATGAACACGAAGACTTAGATTGAAACATCCCGGTAGTATAAGATACATGATCAACAGCCACAACGTTTTATTATACTGTCTTCATGCTTACACTTACTCTTTTGACAAGACAAGCTTTTACTATACATCAAATAATACTTACCTCACAACATAAATACAAACTAACACAACATGACTGCATTTACAAAAACAATGTTCTAGAAGGGGTGAATATATACTTATCTGAACATCTTATTAAATAAGTAACATCAACTGTACAAACTTACTACTGGATAAAAAACTGTAGAAAACATATACAATTGACTCACCCAAAACATGGCTAGATTCGAACGTCAAATCAAGTGAAATCATACCAGATTACTTCCACGATGACATGGAACGCAGAGATCGCACAAAAGACCCCTACGTAGGGGTAATGATAGCAGCTAAACAAACACTACAGTTTGGGAACATCATAAAAAGCACAGATATAGAAGTACTAACTGGCACTATAAACATAGAAGGAAAAAAGAAACTGCTTATATGTGCATTCTATCGACCACCAGATAAAACAGACGACACTTACCTGAACGAAATGAAATACGAAATAATTAACATCAGAGCAAAACATCAAAAAGAGATATTACTTATTGGTGGCGATCTCAACTTACCAGACAATTGTGAACGTTTTTAAATGTAAATAGCCAAAGTTTTCGCGCGGAACCAATCACATTCAATTTGAATCCGGTTCCTTATCTGGAAGAACAACAACATCAGCATTAATCTGGTTCGGTGATAAATTGCAAAGGACGATTATGAGCTTGAATACGGAAGTGCATGATTTCAATAAAGCCGTTGATTTAGGAGAACATTTATTTGACATTTCAAATTCGATTTCGCAATTAAATACTTATTTCTAAAATAACGGAATATTTATATATAACTGATACTGACTAGAACTAAAAAAATAAAATGACCCAGGTATTCAATTTCAATAGATATAAAAAATAACAAGATGTGGTACAATTGCCATTGAGACAACTATCAACCAGAGACCAAATGACATAGGAGTTAACAGCTCTAGGTCACCGTACAGTCTTCAACAATGAGAAAAAAAAACCCATACCGCATAGTCGGCTACAAAGGCCCGAAATGTAAACAATTCAAAAGAGTAAGCTAACGGCCTGATTTATGTACAAAATAATGAACGACAAATAAATATGATATACAGCAACAAACGCCAACCACTGAATTTCAGGCTCCTGACTTAGGACTGGCACATACAGAATGTGGCGGGGTTAAACTAGTTTGAAGGTGCTATCCCTCCCCTAACTTAGGACAGTGGTGTAACAGTACAACATAAGAACAAACTTAAAAAACTCATCAGATAGATACAAAGCAGAAATAAGTCTTACAAAAACATAGACCGTACGTGGCAGGGTACTTATTCATCCCCACAACAAAATAGACACTTAAGTACAGATCTGAGAGTACTCCCAGTTACTGATAGCCAGTTCAAAGCCAATAACAACTTATAAAAATATCAAGTATCTAAGACTTAAATATCAATCAGTTCACTTCCATCATCCAATGGATTTAGTGTAAAGACGTCATTAAGTCAGAGAAAAACATAACCTTGTGTAATGCCAAG